ACTGTGATTGTGCCTGCACTCGAGTCAACCGTAGCATCATGTCACACCTTTCTTTAGATAAAGAAAAAAGTCTTTATACTTTGCATTGTTATTGCCATGTGTTTGAAAAATAAGGAGCATAAATATAGGCATGACATTTTAGAGGGGGCAAAATGAGGAAAAGTTTTGGGAATATTGTCTGAATATAGTTTGAACCACAGCCCGGGGCATCAGAAAAAAACCCCTCAGAAAAATGTATTTATATTTCCTACCGAGAAAGAATACATCAATTACAAAAGAAATGATAATTTAATAAATTTGAATTAATTAAAGGATTTTAATGCAATAAGAATAATACTCTCCAAAGAGTAATGTTTCATTTCCTGCTATATAACAATGGCAATAACCAAGAGACATAGTTTTATTCAATGAGAATAGTTTGAAAAATATATATTTAGTATAGACCCTTAAAAAAGATGGTTATTGAATGATATGAAAAATCTTTCCAAAAACTTCCCTAAAATAAATAAAAAATAATTTCAGTAATATCAGTTAATCATGAACAATGATATTATAAACAATTTGAACAAAAATTTTCAGGAATTAAGGTTTTTTTCTTAAGATTCACACATATTATTCCTTCAAATTTAATCATAAAGATTTGAGCACACAGAAATATTGAGTGAAAGGACATGAAATCTGGTATACAGATTTTATTTCATTGAGAAACTTCTTAAACTACTTTTTGTGTGCATAACATAGCTCAAACAATACTAATTAGCTATTGAAAATATTTTGTCTTCTGAGAGAAGAAAATATTGCTATAACTGAACAACAATGACTAAAACATGATTAAGGAAGTGATTGTTGAAAAATAAAGAGAATTGTGTGATAGAGCCCCACCTAGTGAACATCTGCTGCAATTACCAGACATTTCCTGAAGCCAATGGAGCAGAAGTCAGCCAAGCAGAGACAGACAACAGATTATAAAACAAACCTCCAAACAAGGACTGATAAACATGTTGATGTGCCAATAGATCATTATTATTGTTTTTTTTAAATCAGGGGATTTGGTGTCTTGCACTCTTTTGTGTTCGTGAGACAGAAAAAAGGGAAAGAAAATAAAGTATTTTTAACGAGTGATTAGTTTCTTTGTATTTTTTTACCAATCATTTCATTTTTTCTTTCTATGAAATACATATTCAGTTCCAATACATTATACTGTTTAAATGTGAAAAGGTCATATTTCAGAATAAATTAAACTACAAAGCAAAATCTAACATTATTATGCAACACACATATAATAAACAATGTTTAAAATGTTCTGTGCTAACATAAAATGCATTCATTACAGAAAAAGTATAACAGCAAGAATAACCAAACTATCATATCTGGAAAACGCGCACTATAATAAAGTAAGAATTATTGACACATTTTTTAAATATAATTAACTGTTTTTAAACTAGGTTGATCAAACTTAGGAATAAATCTACTTTAAGTAAATGAAAAGTAACAAAATAAAAAGAATCCCCTAAACTAATGGGATAAAGCCAAAGAAAAACTTTCTTATTGAGATAACTTCAAATATTGATTGACGACTAAAATTGTCTTCCAAGGTAAA